GGAAGGTGGCTCAGTGGTAGAGCGCTTGCCTTGCATGCCTGAGGCCCTGGGTTCGATTCCTCAGCACCACATAAGCAAAAAGAAAAAAGCCGGAGGTGGCGCTGTGGCTCAAGTGGTAGAGTACTAGCCTTGAGCTGAAGAGCTGAGGGACAGCGCTCAGGCCCAGAGTTCAGGCCCCACGACTGGACCCCCCCCCCAAATAAAAGTACTTATGTTCATGTTTCTTAAGGTTATATGCAATTTCTTTTTTTTTTTATTGTAACAGCATCAACTTAGTTGATCCTACTACTTTGGGATGGTTGGGGGCGGATTGAACCTACAGCGGATTGAGCCTTGTGCACAAGGCTAGTCCTCTACCACTTTGAGTCATAGCACCATTTCTGGCTTTTTAGTAGTTAATTAAAGATGAGAATCTCATGAACTTTCCTGCCTGGCTTTGTACTCTGATCCCTAGATCTTAGCCTCCTTAGTAGTTAAGATTAAAGACCTTAGCTGCCAAGGCCCAGCTCATGTTGGTCCTACTTTTAAAAATCATTTTGTTTTGTTAACTGTACTACAAATCACCAAAGTATAATTTGGGAATTTTCTAGATCCCTGGAATAAAGCAGAGCATGCCTAAGTCGTGATTTACTACAGATCTTAGTAATTCATTAATTCTTTCAAATACATTTACTGATCTCATAATTTGTATCAGACACTATTGGGAACTGAAGTTATATAAAAAAGAAGAAGAAAAAAGAGAATTCATTAGAAGAGAAATACTAACCAGAAGCCATACCGTGTGACCATGCTAACACACCGATTTTCTTAAAATATAGGTGTTCACTAACTTCAATTTTGGAAACTACCCTTTTAGGATGGCATTAATAAGATGTTAATATTATTTCTTGCTATTTTATTTTCATTTAGAACTATGCCCTTAAAGTCTATCCATGTTGCTATTTATACTTCTAATGTGCTTTCTATGCTCTTTACCTGACCTCATTGCCAGTGATAGAAACCTGGAGTTTTTTTAACTCCTTATCATGGGTGAAGCTAAAGAATATATCCTAGTATATTTGTCATAGGAGAATTTCTTTTTTGTATGTCCAGAAAAAGAATTACTGTGAAAATTAACTATTTGACTGCTAGATTGCTTTTCAGAGTTATACTCCAGTATGCAATCCCACCAGCAGTGCCAGTTTCGAAAGAAAACTCACCAACATTTGCCATTTTCTTTTTTTTCTAATTTTTACTAAACTGGTAGCATAATGTGATCTTATGGTCAATATCTCTGGATATTCTCTTTAAAATATTTTTGTCTGTATGTCTAGATCTCATGCCCCACTGGGCTTCATTGCTCACAGCTAGAGCTCTACCACTTGAACCATGCCTCCAGCCTGGCTTTTTACTAGTTAACCAGAGATGGATTCCTATGGACTTTCCTGCCTAGGCTGGCTTTAAACCTTGATCATTTAAGTCTCAGCTTTCTGAGTAGCTAGAATTATAGATGTGACAGTACTTTTTTTCTTTCTTTTGGTCATACTCGGGTTTAAACCCAGGGCCTCACATTTGATTTGCTTGTTTGCTGGGCTGATGCCTTACCATCTGAGCCACACCTCCTTCCCTTACCCATTTTCTTATTAAAATTGTCTTTTTTGTTGAGTTAGGAATCAAACCAAGAGACTATCTACTGCTAATCAATATGTTCCTTAGCTGCATCCCCAGCACATAAAATTCTTTTTGTTTAAAAAGATTGGTTTGTAGTTAACTTTGTCTTTAATGTTTTTAGTCTGAAAAGTTTTGCTTTTGATGTGATTAAATTGTTTATTGACTCTCTGATGTATGCTTTTTTTAAAAAAAATTCCAAAGTCTTTCTTGGCCTCAAACATAGAGATGTTCTCCTGAATAATACTTGACTAACCATATAATTTTAGCATCCCTCTTTAGGTCTGTAAGTTTTATTCCTGACATTATATAGGTGTAGGGTTTTACTTTGCTTCATTACGAGTCAGCTGCATCTATCTATCTATCTATACACTAAATTCATCCACTCCTATATATATATATATGTATATATATACTAAATTCATCCACTCCCCATTGATTTATGTGCCAGCCTTACATTATTTTCCCAAGTTATATATGTCTCTGTTTCTGAGATTTGTTCTGTTCAGTAGGATGATTTGTTTATTTTTGTATTCCACCCTTATTTTTATTTTCGACTTTCATAACAGCTTGAAGGACATTAGATATCCTAATGCATGCTGATCTGTTTAAGTGTTGGTTTGGCTATATGTATAAATCTTACTCACTCCATATAAATGCTAAAGCTCACTTACGGAGTAAACTTTAAATTTAGAACTACATTTGTAAATTTAGACAAAGTTGATACCTGAATAATACTTGTTTGTTCCATCCAAGAGTATATAGATGTTGCCTGTTATTGATACATGCCTATATCCTTAAAGATGTGTGTGGGGTTTTTTTTTAGTATTCCTGGTATGGAAATTGAGAGGGTAAATTAATTATTTAGTCTTTTCACTTCCAGTTCTTACACCTGTCATGTATAACATTGACTAGGATTTTCAGTACCATGTCAAACCAGTGTTAATCATCATGATCATGGTCACCTTACCTATGTTTATTTATTTTTAATTTTTTGATTCAAATGTAATGTTTATTACATGCTTATTACTGTGCCCATTATTAAAATAACCAAAGAAAAATCAATTTTAAAAATACCCAACTGTCAGTCCAGGCAATATTGATGTTTTAGCTTACCTGGTTCATGGTAAGAGCATAAATATGTGGGCATCTGAAGAATTGCCTTACAGACCCAGGTTCTCCTCCAGTGTCTTCTCTTGGAGTTGTACCTGATTTTGTTTCCAGTTTTCATCCGAATCCACTGGGGAATGGGGGGATTTTGCTTTTGTTTCTTGGCCAGAAATCGCTTGATTCTGAAAGTCTTGTGAGAAGCCATGAAGAGTAGCTCAGGAAGGCACAGTAGCCATGATGGTGAACAAAAGCTGAAGAGCTTAGCTATTTTTAAAGGGAATACATTTAATCTTACTTGCTTTTAATTTAGGTAGATTAACTTTACCAAGTTAAGAAAGACCTTTTTTTTTTCTAGTTTTAAAGGCTAATTTTTTGAAACTTGTGGGTCAATAAGGGATTACAAAGTTTTATATTCAGCTGATAAAGTTAAATTTTTCTTTCATTTTAGAAATGTATAAATTTTCCAAATTTGAGTTGCTGGTATAAACTCCAATTGATTGTAACATTTTCTTTGCTATACTCTGAATTCTTGTGATACCCATATTTTTTGCAAGTAAAATGAAGTGAACCTGCATTTATGTGATTTGTCTCTAGTTTTAAATATTTGTTATTCTCTTAAAAAGAATTGATCATTTTTTTTAAGTTGGGTTTTGTTTTTGTTTTTTCCTTTAACAGCCTCTTCATATAATTACCACGTCTGAAATCCCAGCAAGAGTCCCAACAGCTAGCAGCTCTCCTACCAGGACAACTATCCTAAAACAGTTATCAACAAACACATCTAAAGGTAAAAATAATGTTTGGAGTTTGGGGCACAAAGGTTCAGCTTTTCAGAAACTACTTTCAGGTGCCAACTACATCCTTAAAAACTGACTTAGTAATATCCCAACGAATTAAAATAGACACACATTCTTTCTAAGAACCACTCCCAATTTTCTGTTAGGAGTGGTATTAGAATCTAAGAATCCTAAGCCTATGTAAGATAGAGGGAAAAATCTGTAAAGTTTTTTGCTCAGCATACATATTCTTGGGAGCCTTGAGGTTAGATGAGCAATATAATTACCTAATGTTTTTTGCATTTAATACCATATCTCTAGTTTTCTCATTCACAGATTAAAGGCTATCTTTCCAGATAGTCCATCTACTGAATCACTGGTTTCCAAGAACATTAGCATCTCCTATGGGAAACATGAGATTCTTGCACACCAGATGTTCTTGACAACTCATCTGGTCATACCCTCTGTATGAAAGCTCTTTCACCAGTCGGCAACCAAGGTGACTACTGAGCTTCTTTTCATACCCAGTAGATACAGAATCACTGTCAGAGTGCACACATGTGTTCACAGTACCAGAACTGAGACTCCACTAAGAGAATCAGCTTGCCTAAATGAGGACCCCCCTCCTCTTGGGTAACCAGGTTTGAAGGAGATACTCTAACCTGTGCCACTGGTAAGTGACTACCACTATTACACACTGAACTGGTCCTGAAGACTAAGATGTCTTCTTCATAAGTGAAGAATAAAGAACATAATCTTGAAGAACTGTACAAGTGGTGTGGGAGAGGCACACTGTATACAATGGACTGAGAAGTAGACAAACTTGGTGAAAAGGTTTTTCTTCTCATATTCTTATTAGCCAGTGTTAGTCAATAATCTATTTTGCTTGTTGTTATTTTCTGTGTCCTTACCCTGTGTAATTCTAATGGGTCCCAGAATTCCCTCTCCTGATCGCTTATCAGAATCAGAAAGTGAGGAAGAAGATAACATTAGCTACCTAGATGAGAGTTCTGGAGAAGAGTGGGATTCCTCTGAAGAAGAAGACCCTATGGTGCCCAACCTAACACCTCTTGAGAGTCTTGCCTGGCAGGTTAAGTGCCTTTTGAAGTATTCTACAACTTGGAAGCCTTTAAATCCTAATTCTTGGCTATATCATGCAAAACTCTTGGATCCAAGCACCCCAGTCCATATACTTCGAGAGATAGGTCTGAGACTTTCTCATTGTTCCCACTGTGTCCCCAGACTGGAACCAATTCCTGAATGGCCCCCTCTGGCCTCTTGCGGAGTCCCACCTTTCCAGAAACCCCTAACCAGTCCCAGTCGGCTCTCGAGAGATCATGCCACCCTAAATGGAGCATTGCAGTTTGCCACCAAACAATTAAGGCGAACATTGAGTAGAGCTACTCCCATCCCTGAATACTTAAAACAGATTCCTAATTCTTGTGTTTCTGGTTGTTGCTGTGGCTGGCTAACTAAAACAGTTAAGGAAACAACTCGCACTGAGCCCATCAACACCACTTACTCTTACACTGACTTCCAAAAGGCGGTTAACAAACTCCTGACTGCATCATTGTGAAGATCAGACTGCATCATTGTGAAGATCAGTATTTGCTCCAGCATCTGATTAAGAAAGGAGTACAGTTGAGAAACTCATACCTACTCAATAAAACTGTGCCATACCTTGACAAGCTAAAGTGCTACTAAGTATTGAATCACTCAAGAGTCCTGTAGTTCCGCTAAAGAAAATGTTTATATGTATATGTCGTCTAACAAACCCTGTGGATAAAATGACAAGCATTAGTCGAAAAGATTATATTTTGCCAGGCACCAGTGGCTCATGCTTGTAATCTCATAACTACTCAGTAGGCTGAGATCTGAGGCTTACAGTTAAAGACTAGCCAGGGCAGGAAGTCATGAGAGTCTTAACTCCAGTTAACCACACAAAAAGCCAGATTAAAGCTGTGGTTCAAATGATAAAACACCAGCTGTGAGCAAAAACACTTGATAGTGCTCAGTCCTTTGAGTTCAAGCCTCAATATAAGCATCCTAAATAGATACTATATTTTAAAGGTTAGTTACACATTCTTCATATCCTATAGTTACCCTGCCCCAATTTATTCTTTCTGTCTGAATCTACTTTAACTAGGTACCAGATTATAAATGGGAAGAAAAAAGTAGGTCAGCAGTGCTTTTGTTATACAAGCATCAGAACAGCCTTGGAAAGGTAGAACTCAACCATTGTCTAGAACTTGGTTATTCACAATAAAATTTTACTTACACAGTCTTCTCATTTATTTCTAGGGATGTAGTTGAAGTAAATTGAATAATTGCACAAAGGAAAATGGAATTTAGATGTGTCTCCCAGCTTATATAGATATACCTATATGTTACACCCTTTAGGGTTCCTGTTTTTTGTGAGGAGTGAAATTTCAAACCCAGGATATACCCTACTCCAAATATATTCCCTATCATTGTCTTCACCATCTTGTCTCTGGCCTAATTTGCCCTTAAGATCAAGAGACTTCTGTTATATAGAGAATGTGTTTCTTGAATCATAACATCCAACCTTTTTTAGGGAGCAAATAGAGTACATTCCAAAACAATGAAGATCAAGACAGAACTTAAGTTTTCAGAATTAACTGCTAAAGGATTAAAATACCTGTATGTCATTTTTTTGGAGCAGAAGATGTACTTTCCACATCACTACAAACATTTCAGGTACCCTTCTAATTTCATAAAACCTTTCTATATATCTGAAGTTTTAGTAGCAGCATTGTTTTTCTAAGTAGAATAGATAGTTTTTCTTTGGATGAACAAGGAAGAGTGTATGCCCTTGTAAAAGTCCTGCTATGTTCAAGTGGATCAAAGGTAAAAATTAACATCATAAAATGAAATGCATGAGACTATTAAATCTTTGCATACTGTGCAATAGAGAGAAAAACCTATGGGTGAGAGGAATCAGATTATTAAAAGTATATCACAGATTATTAAAAGTATTATCACAAGTGAGTGCTGGTGGCTCATGCCTGTAATCTTAGCTGCTCAGAGGCTAAGGTCTGAAGATCATGTTTGAAGCCAGACCAGGCAGGAAGGATCTTCAGTTAAGCACTAAAAAAGGCAGAAGTGAAACTGTGGCTCAAGTGGTAGAGCATTACCCTTGAACAAAAAAAAGCTCAAGAGATCGTGCCCAGGCCCTGATTCAAACCCCAGGACCGGTGTAAAAAAAAAGAATAGAATACGTGTTCTTTATTTTTGCTTATTTTTCATAATGATTCTTGAAAGGTAGAATCCTAAAATTGAAGCAATGATAGAATCACAAATTTTGTAAACGTACAGCAAATTTAAAGGAAGCAAAGAATTTATATGAGTATTTCTGCTGAGCCTTAGTTGTACTGTTATAAGGAAAAAGGAGGATATTGTAGTAGTTAGAATAAAAAGGTATTAGTAAAAATTACTGATTTGAAACTTCATACTGTTAATGTAACAGAATGAATGTATCATAAATGTCCTATGTAGATAATGTGTGAATTAGTTTTAAAAATGTTAAAAGAACCTGTTTTTTCCCTAAGGGGAGGAGGTGGAAGGACATATGAAAGAGGCCAGAAAATTAAAATATGTTGATGTTTATGTATCCATTTTGTCTGTGTGTATATAAAAGTGCCTTGCTCATGAATACATTTTTGCTATTGACTCAGAAAGGAAGCCTTTCCCCAGCTTGGCAGCTGAATAAACCAGTAGCTTTAAATATGTTGAACAGAGTATGCTCATTTGTCCTCAACAAATTAAATAGATCTTTACTAAAGGCAAAGTCAACATTCACTAAGTACTGAATACAGCTCATATGTATACATCTGTATTTGTACAATGTCTGTGAATCATACTGGCATCTTTAGAAAAGAAACACACTTAAAGGACAAAGTTATGTCATATTTAGTGACAACCCAAGTTTAAACCTATTGAAATAATCCAAGGTTGCATGAAAAGATGAGCCCCTGATAAGCCTTAAACCTTGTTTGCCAAAGACTTGGGTTTAGGGATGATGTTGCCATTTTTACATTCTTCCTATCTAGGCCTCTGATTAAAAAGTCACCATAATTAGGATAAAGGAAAAAGAAATTAATAGGAGAGAGCAGGGGAAAGAGTGATATTGTCCAAAAAGAAATGTCCTCTTTACATGACTTAAATAACTGTAACCCATCTGTACACTGCCTTTATAATTGTAAGAAAAAAATATAAATAAAAAGAATGTATTCCCTATTTCTAAGAAATAGAGTCCAGAGGAATAAAGAGGATTTCTAGGCCAGTAATTTAAAGGTGGTTTTCTCAATGCAGATAACCGTTTTGTTGAAGCAGTCCAGATATCTTGAGCCTAGAAGAAGGCCATGATCGTACTTTTTTTGGTCCATTGTGGAACCTAAACTCTGGGCCTGGGCACTGGCCCTCAGCTCTTCAGCTCAAGGCTAGTGCTCTACCACTTGAGCCACAGCTTCACTTCCAGCTTTTTCTGCTTATGTGGTACTGAGGAATCAAACCCAGGGCCTCATGCATGCAAGGCAAGCACTCTAGCACTGAGTCACCTTCCCAGCCCCATAATCATGACTTTTAATTCCATCTACTTCATAAGGAGAGAAAAAAGGTATGTGGCCAGAGTAGAACAGATAAAGTAGGTCTTCTCCAGGGTATTTTTTGCTAGAGCTCCTATCATACCCACCTAAAGAACTTTCTATATGATGAAAACAGTATTGAAATGTTAGAATAGGTTATTAGAGCAAATAAGGTCCCTAGACACTTAGGCCTTGGTAGGCATAAGTTGTCTTACATGTTCTAATAAAATGGCTTTCTACTTTTGGCTTCAGTTACAGTACAATCCCAGCCCTGGGGATAAAAAAAATTATATGGAGTACTACACAGAAGAAATAAAATTTAAATATAATGGATCCATATGCATTAGCCCAGTCTGAGGCAAGAAGATGGTAAGTTTGAGGCCATCATAGACTACACAGGCCCTATCATATGGAGGGCACACTCCAAGTAAGGCCTTTAAAGGATAGCTCAAGAAATAGGTAAAACTTGCTAGTAATTTATATGTAGCTTAAGTTATCTCTGCTAATTTCACAAGTAGCACACAAAGGCCAGGCTAGAAGTGGAGAATTTGTAGAAAAGTATAGAAAGTAGATAGAACTCTCAGACCTTATGACCTAAAAGCAAATTAACACATACTGACTGACATATTTGTCTACCAGTGGGCAGTGTCTACTAAAGGAAAAGAGGCTACACAGGCTGGTACCAGTACCAGGCAGATCTTGAACATTATTTGTATGTGGGGTTTAAACTGCATTCCTTCTACTACTCATGCCATGCCCCTAGGCCTTTTTTATTTAGTTAGTTTTCAGTGAGGATCTCACACTTTATCTGAGACATGGCCCAGACTCAGACTGTGAGCCCTTTGCCTTTGCCTCCATGTACCTGGGATTATGTCCAGTGTTTTGAGATGGCCTCACCAACTGTTTTTGTCCAGACTGGCTTTAGGCTATGATCCTCCTTTCTTCACCTCCCAAGTCACTGGGATTACAGATGTAAACTATCACACCTAGCAGTCTGACAATTTAGAACACAATGTGGTATGATACAATAGTATTCAATCTACTGAGTTCTTCCTTTCAGTTGATTGCAACAGTGAGACTATATACTCATACACTCACTTGCGAGTGTAAGACCAAGAAAAGGAACAGGACAACGCTGACTTGACACTTGCAGGCTACGACCTCCTGTGAACTTGGGAGAACTGACCAGCTCTTCTCAATGAGATGTAGGAAAATGAATACCAGGATGAAAACAGGACTAAGATTATTGCTTCTAGTCAGTGCTGAAGCAGTAAAAATGTTAGCAACAGCTTAAGATTGGCTCATGAACAGCAGAAATTGGCTCAAATTAGGACTCAAATCAACTTATTTGGGAAGATTTAGTTGATTGTATCATATAAGAAAATTCCTAGGATCGTTTGAGAGGAGTCTATATGTAGCCAGTAATCTAGAAGGTAGAGTAGGGAACCTGAATAAAGAATAAAACTGAGTTTTGGTATACAGAAAATGATGTAGTAACAGATTAGACTGCAACAGGAACCAGCAGTTATTAAATAAACTGGTAATATCTTTTTTGTGGAGGGATTATTATGTTTGAGTTCACTGCTAAACCCATGCCTAATAGTGTCTTTCTGTGGATGATCTCTGCTCTTGGACATGGTAATCTAACATAGGAATTGATGTTCTGAAATGCATTAATTTGGCAGTGGTCTAAGAGGATCAACTTCCTTTCAGGGTCCACATATATGGCCATATTGCATCAAGAAGGACCCTAATCCAGATGTCAGTGTCTCATGCTATAATTCTAACTATTCAGAAGGCAGAGATCAGGAAGATGATGATTCAAGTCCAGCCCAATCAGCAAGAAGTTCATAAAGCTCCATCTCGCCATAAAAAGCTGGTAGCACACACTTGTTAATCCCAGTTATACAGCACGAATTGTATACAAGAGGTTCAGACCTGCCTGGGGAAAAAGTGAGATCCTATCTCAAAAATAACCAAATCAAAAAAGAGAAGTAGGGCCTAAGTGGTAAAGTGACTGCCAAGCAAATATGAAACCCTGAGTTCAAACCTAATGCCACCAAAAAAAAAAAATCAGAAGGACCCTAGAGAGCCCACCTAACAACTGCCAAGACCCTGAGTTCAAACCACCACAAATAATAAATGTATAAATATGATAATATATATTAAATATAGTAATGAAGAGCCACAAATTTAAAAAGAAGACATTATCAGAAACATTGAAGGATATACTAATCCGTGAAATAAGAGCAAGAGCAGGATGTTATTTTTAAAGTCGGAAAATAAGAGCTATTAAAGAAATGGAGCCAAAATGAAATATTCAGTAGGTGTGTCAGAAAATGATTTCCAGAAATTCCAGAAAGTAGAACAGAAAGGCTAAGGTGACAGGCATGAGAAAAGAAAATTAGAGTGAGATGCTGCATTTAATTCCTGAATTCCAAAATGAGAACAGAGAAGACAAGTGAAGGGGGAGATGAGATTATTATGATTCCCTAAAATTGTAATACATTCATCTCCTAAAAGGGTCCCACCAAATGGCCAACATGATGGATTTAAAAAAGAAAACAAAAAACATATCAGTATATATAGCTCAGGGCTAAAGAAAATTCTAAATGCTTCCAAAGAGTATAGTAAACAGGTTACATAAAACTAGTTATTTCCAGAATGACAGTAGACTTGTACCAACCAGGCTTTAAAAAACTGTGAAAACAGGACTTTCAAACATATAAGGGAAAATTATTTCTAACCTAAAATTCTGTACCCAGACAATGCAGTTAATTATGAGGTTGAAATAACTTTATAACGTGCATGATCTCTCCTTCTTTAGGAGAACACTGGAGACTGTGATCGGAAAAGGGTGGAACGGTGAAACCCTAGAAACCCACCATTCCCCCACCCCCCCCAAAAAAGTAAAGCGGTGGGGGTAAGTCTCAGGATGACTGCTGTGTCACGTAAGTAGGGTGGGGCCTAGGAAGTAGCTCTATAGGAAAACTCTGAACTCTGTTCTCATATATGGAAAATGTAGCTATTGAGGAGCCTGAGATTTGAGAATTGCAGTTTGAAGACAACCTGGGCAGACAAATCTGTGAGACTCTCATCTCCAGTTTACCAGCAAAAATTCTGGAAGTAGAGGTTGCTCAAGAGGAGCACCAGCCTAGAGGGACAAAACTATGTTAGACAGTGAGGCCTTGAGTTCAAACCAGGTACCATCACAAAAGAATAAAATTGAAATTTAAAAATAAAGTCCAATTTCATAACCAAGTTTAAAAGTTTGACATTAAAAATACAGTATAATTGTAGTATTGTCAGCTTTCAATGGTCTTTTCAGGCATCATACTTCACAATTGAAGCAGCTGCTTGCTTTGCATATGATCCACATTGTCAAAGATATTTCTCAAACAAGATTACAACAGCTTGATTTGTACAAGAAACTTTATTTGCTTAAGCAAATCTCAAAATTTTTAATTTACTTACCTAACAGTCTCTAGCAGTAATTTGGACTAGCTTTTTATTTAAGCTTTAGTCTCTATAGATTCAAGGAGTTATCTACTTTTTAAAAATATTTTAAAACTTTATATTGCTTATTGCTTTTTACATTAGATACTATTGCTATAGTTACATCCAGTGGCTGGCCTCTAATATATTCCCATATAATAATTTAGATTCTTTTCCCTATGAGTTGTGGTTCAAGGGTTTTTTATGCTTGGTTTAAATTGTATAACCTCATAATAAAATTTCATGTAATTGCAAATCATCTGAGCACCATTGTCGTATCTGTTGAGTGAAACACACCAAGCTGATTTGTCCATCTCTTTTTCTAAATAGGGAAAACCTACAGCAAAATAAATTGTTCCAATCATGTATACTTCTTGACAGCTTCTCACAAATATATATTCACTTCAATACTACATCAAAGTATAAACACTCAGATCCTCGTACCAAAAAAACAAACAAACCTCATTCCCTAATGCCTTTTCTCAGTCTATATTGCCCCTAGAAATAACTACTGTTCTATAAAGATGAATCAGTCTTTTTTCTCCAACTTCATATGAATGAGATCATGCAGTTCATATTCTGTTACACGTGGCTTTTTAAAAAATCAGTACATATTTTTTATTGTTGTAGACAATTCTATTTCATGAGTAATTAT